CTGCTACTCTCCTCCCTCTGCCCTCTGATGTAACCCCTCATGACTGCCTGACATTACAGACCAACTACTAACTCCCTGAATTGATTTACAGGAAACACCTCTTGAAAATGCTGAATCAGCTTGGTTGACTGATATAGCTCTTACCTACAGATGAAACAGGCCACTAGCAAGCAGGCTATGCAACTGTTGGTCTAAATAAAAGCACTGAAGCCAATCCAATGTCTCAGGCAACCTCTGCTCAGCAAGCAAAGCTCTACGCATTAATGTGAGCTTGCAATTCAGCTAAAGTAAACCAGCTAACATTTATACTGACAGCAGATAGGCCCTCGGTGTTGCCCATGACTTCAGTAAGCTCTGGAAACACACATGATTCTTGACTTCTCCCTTTGGAGTCACCTAACCTCAAAAGAAGTGGTAAAAAACTAGAATACAGTAAACGTTAGGTTATATTTAGGCAGCTTTCCTTTCCCTATTTGTAAATAGGTACTTTTCATCGTAACAGAGTATTTCGAGTAGAAGACACAAGATCTGACCACAAAAATTATTTCTCTACTATACATTTGTAGACTTCTACCCATTTACTGAAACATAACTATGTGCTAACGAGGAAGAGAGATCTGCCTGTTTTTAATGGTGGTTAGCCAGCACAGAGTCCAAAATAAGAAAACGCAGGCCCATCATATATCCCAATTTGCTTTTCAGTTCCTCCTCTGGGCAGTTCTCTTTTGTCCACTTAATAACAAGGGGCAGATGTGCAGATTTGTAAAGTTTTCTGAAAGCAGACATGCAGAATATAAAAATAAGGGAAACACGCACATTTTATAAACTTTGCACATTTACTATGAAAAGGGAAGAACGGATTCAGAATTATGAAATCTATTTTCTTCTTAAATGGCTAGCAAAGACCAAATGAGTGTCAATTATTCTGGAAAGAAGAAAACTTAAGGCTAATCTAATATATTCACTTCTCAGCTTTGATTTTTAAAAAGGACATGATATATTTTGCAAATGCAGCTGAGGTTTTTCCCCTTTGACTCTTTTTCATGATCCTCCCAAAATAATTCTTGAGGTCCCCACTTTCATTATCCTGAGTGTACACATTAATTTGGAATTAACTAACAGGGCTTCACACATGGTAGAAGCTCAAAAATATTTGCTGCATGAGTCAGAACATTAGTAAATAATAAAACCACCATGTCCTAAACTAATTATTTATCAATAATTACTCATTCCTTTAGGGAGCTTATCTACTTTTAATACCTCTATGCAAATAACTACCTAGTAATCAAAGTTCTTCCACTTATTGGCTATGCAACTTTGGCCAATGCATTTTGACTTCCATTTTATTCAATTGTAAAACGGGGATAGCAACACCCTAAAGAACTGTTATGAGGTTTAAATGTGATAATAGAAGTGAAAACTATAAGGACAATTATCTACATTTCTAATTCCCCATATCTCTAAGGTACGCCTGGGTATGCCACTTAACCATTCCGGCAACTTAAGTTCAACATACCTCAAACCAAATGCATCCTTTGAGTCTCAAGATCTGTTTCTCCTGTAGACTTTCCAAAGTTTCAAATCTGGATGACTCAGGTCAATTTACCTCCTTCCTTCATTACCACCCTCCACCCAATCACTTTCCCTTTAATGGTTTTCTTCTTTTCTAGCCTACTAACATGTCTAGGTCATTATAACTGATCTCCTAGTAGCTCCTCTTATTCCCCAACAATAAAATTCAGCTTTAAAAACAAATTTCCAACTGCCTGTCAAATCTACCTCAGTAGTAGATGACAATCTAGATTACATATTATAACATCTGTAATAGGAACCTTCTTGCATGGTTCCCAGTGATCTCCACCTGCTGGTATTCATGCCTTTGTGCGGGCTGAACCTCATCACTTGCTTCTAATGAACAGTGAAAAGCGATGGGACTTCACTTCCTTGCTTAGGTTACAAAAGACTGACTTCCGTCTTGCTAGCACTCTCTTGCCTTCTCACTTTCTCGCTCTGATGAATCAAGCTGCCAAGTAGTAAGATGCTCTGTGGAGTGGCCCATGTGGCCAAGAACCAAAAAAAGGCTGCCAGCAGTCAGTTCATGAGGAACTGAGGTCTTTGTCCAATAGGCAAAAAAAGCTGAATTGCCAAGAGCTACATGAGTGAGCCAGGAAGCGGAACCTTCCCAGTTGAGCTTCAAAAAGTCTTGTGAAAGTTAAACAGGGTTATATGACCAGCAATTCTACTCCTAGGTATGTAGTAAGTCCTCACTTAATATCATCCATAGATTCTGTGAATTTAAGCAAAACCAAGTATGATGAAACCAATTTTACCACAGGCTAACTGGTATAAACAAGAGTTAAGTTCATATGGCATCTCGTCAACATTATAACAAAATGACATTATTCAAGGATCTGCTATATACCCAAAAGAGATGAAAACATATGTCCACACAAAACTTGAACACAAATGTTCATGGCGTTATTCATAATAGCCACAAAATGGAAACACCCCAAATGCCCATCAATTGATGAATGGATACGTAAAATGTGGTATATTCATATAATAGAATGTTACTCAGCCATAAAAAGGAACGAAGTAATGATACATGCTACAACATTTATGAACCTTGAAAACATTATGCTAAATAAATGTCGAAGTCTGCAAAGGCAAACCACAGAATCTTTACTAAATTTCAACCACTCCATAAGATAACCTGAAATCTCCATTTAAAAATGGAATAACAGCAAATTAAGCAGACAGTTAGTTGGACACATGGCTTCCAAGTTCCAAAAAGAGATGAGGTCATGGAAGAAAATGAAATAAACCGAAAGCGTGTAGCTTAGGGGAAGATGAGGAAGTGCGTATCATATCAACTTTTAAAGAAAAAGAGCCAACCAAAGAAACTGAGAAAGAACAGTCAGAGGAATAGAGGAGGAACCAAGAGAAAGCAGTATCGAAGAGTCAAGAAGAGAATTATAACAGATATACTTATAAAGAAATCAATTGGAATAAGAATCTAAAAACACTCTGTTTTTCGCTCATATCTTTGGTAAGGACAGAGCAATAAATGAGGGTTAAGAAAATGGAAGCAGTGAGAATAAACTGCTTTTAAGCGGAAAGGATTAGGTTGATTTTTATTACTGTTGTTTTTAAAAGTCTAGAGACTTTGAGCCTCAGGGGAAGAAGCCAGGGAAGAGGGAGCAATAAGAGATAATGGAGGACACTGCATGATCTATGTCCTACAAGACAGAGAGAAAAATTAGATGGAGGGCTAGGTTGAGGGATAGCCTGGGACAAGCTTCAAGAAAATACAAATATATGTCAGTGTGTAAATGCAGTCATGCCTTACTTATCTGCATCCTTGGGAAAGAGTTCCATATAATTAAATTTTCCACACGTTTAAGTAGCTTTCTTCTAAATTTTAGTTATTTTCTTTGAAATTGTTTACCACTCTATCATACAGTTCTCTGCCTTCTTAAACAATGTGTGCTTTCCTGAATGACTTTAAGTAAGGTCATTGTAGCCATGATTACTGTACTAGGAAGTAATATAGCTGAGCCTGCATGTCAACTTCTCAAATCTTCTTTGGTTGGTCTACATTGTCAGTTGCCATTTCCTCTGTTACATTTCCCCTGATAACCTTTTTCATTTGTGCTTCTGATACATTCTAGTTTGAAAATTATATCACCATTAAATAATACCCTATATAAGGGATAATAGGGTTCTAAATGAATGTACAGGAGTAACATACATGGCTTTATGACAACTCTCCCCAGTGCTTCTAAGAAACTTGTTTCACTTTTCAATTCGGTCAAGACTGGGTTTCAGAAAGAGTTGAGGATGTCAAAAAAAACTGACCTCTGACTACATGAAACATTACTTTATCTTGCTTCCTTAAGTCATATCAAAATATCTCTGCCAAGTAACTAATAATTTTATCTGGTTAGTCTTAAACCACACAAAAAGAACATCATGCCGATTTCAAAAGTGGGCCTGACGTCTCACAGTAACTAAATACTTTCCTGCCTACAATCATTTACCAATAAAAAGTTATAACCTACATTTTGTTTGTGTATGTTAATATAGTCATGCATATTTCACATATACGGATATTATCCATGATAAAAGAATATCCTTCACAAAATGTTGGATTTAATCCCTCTCAAGTTTCACACAAATTTCACAATTACAAGCAGCACAAGGGCTAAAAAGAACTACAGTTAGGCACACAGGCAGTCAGTCAAAATTTAAGAATTCATCCCTTTAGTTCCAACACCATAAGATACCCTAATTTCATTCATTCTTAAGATTCTGGAAGGGTACCTCCCTCTGTACTTTACATATAAAAAAACAAAAACAAAAAACTACTGTTGCTTCTCCAGGACCCTTCCTGTTCCTTAAGTTTTTCATTCGTATTAATGAAAATTAAGAAATGTAGAATTTCTCAAGACAGCGCCTAATCATCTCAAACTGAAACTCCAGCACACTAGTTTAGAGTATCAGAGGCACTAGCATCTGAACCTCTGCCTTTATTCAAATCATTTATGTACATCTCCCCTTTTACGTTACAAACACCAGGAGGGCAAGAACATTGTCTGATTCAATTATTTCATTCAATCACGGGACAAATACGTTTGGAGCACCTAGTATCTGCTGGCCTCCGGAGAGAGCGGAGTTAAAACAGTCCCTGTCCTCACAGTTAAGCAGAGGAGGCAGGCTTGTAAACAAATTACAACACAAGCAAAAAACAGAAGTGAGCACAGAATCAAATCAGAGGAAGGAGTAACTCTAGTGCCGCAGAGGAAGTTCACGGATCCATTTAAGCATTCTCCAGTGGGCCTCAATAAATACCTGTTGAGCGGACGAATGAATGAATGAAATCTTGTTAATGAAAGACGTGATCCCAGGTTGCTTCTGGAAGTCAGCTGCTGGAATGCAGACCCGAGCACGCCTCAGCCCCACCTCCACCTGAGGAAATCACCTTGGAATAAGGATCATACCTGTACTGCCAGCCTTTCGCGCTGCCTCCGCGGCTGCTGCTGCTGCTGCTGCTGCTAAGGCCACCCCCACAGCTGCTGTTGCTGCTGTTCTTGTTCGGGGTCACCGCTGTGGCCAGGCCCTCCAGCTTTCCTTCGCTCTCCGAGACTTTCATGGTTGACACGGGCTCACCCCCCTGCATCTTAACTCCAAAGTCCATTTGCCCTTCTAGGGAGGAGAGAACAACTCTGTAGTTTTGTAAGTGATAATTGTTAAGACTGGAGCTAAAGGTGATCCCACCAAGTAAATCTGACGGCGGCTGGAGTGGGAACCATCAAACGGTCCAGGGGAAGAATACAAGGATTCCCACGGAAGGAAAACTTTTCAGGAGGGCAGGGGTAGCGATGAGGACGGGGATCCTTTAAACATGTATCTCCTTCCCGGCAAAAGCAAGGAGGTGAATCAATCACCTTGCCAGAAGACCTGGTGGCATATTCAAAGGAGAAGCAGAAGCAGCGCGGGGAGGTCGCGGACTCCAGCCGAGCCTACAGGGCTCAGAGAAGGACGTCGGACCACAGACCGGGACCAGCGGCCTGACCTCCGGGCTGACGGGCTGACTCGCCGCGCTCCCTCTTCTCCAGCGGGTCCTCAGGGGGAGGGTCCGGTGCAGCCCGCTGGCAGTTCCCGCCGCAGCCCCGGAGACAGAGCTGGGGCCGCCCTCGCACAGCCCGGGAGGTCGGGAAAGGAGGCCGCCGGGGGCGGGACGCCGGTTCCCAGGGCTGCCTTTCTTCCAGTCAGAGGCGAGCCGCTCAAAGCAACTTCCCCCAGCGTCCCTGGCCCTGGGCCCTCCACTGGGTTCCCAGGGGCAGGCAAGTCCCTCGCCTTCTCTCCAGCCCCCAACGTGAACACCACAGCCACGGCCGCCGCCCCACCCACAGCCCCACGGCAGGTCACCCACCCGCCTGCTGGCTCCCGCCTTCCCTTCCGGAGTAGCGTGAGCTCACTTCCCCTGGAGCAGAAGCGCCTGGCGCCATCTTGGAGCAGGGCACGCGGCCCTGAAAGGGGCGGAGCCTCCGGGGGGAGCGGTGCTGGGGTGGCTGACCCGGTAGAAAGGCAGAGTGAGGGGTGCGGCAGGGAAGGAAAGAGGAGGTGGCACAGCCAGGGAGCGGCTGGAGATTGTGCCCCTGTAGAGCGTGACTTCCAGCCTTCCTAGGCAGGTACTGTCCTTCCATTTGAGGGCCCATTCCAGGCATTTTAGGAAAAAAGCTTAGAAAAATAATGCCATTTCTATAAGAAATTACAAAAAATACCGCCTCATTTTAGTAATTTTGCAAAAAGAAAAATGCATG